AAAATTGCATCACCAAAATGGATTCGAGGATAAATAACAAATGAGGTTACGTACTAATCAAGGGGTAAGGAAGAAAATAATTTATGGGTCAGATAATAGGTCCAATTGACAAATATGAAGAAAAGGGACAAACACAAAGGTCATAATAATAAACTGAATAATAATCGAAAAAACTTGTATAAGGTAATAATAATAATAGTAACTGATAAGAGTTTAAAATGCAAAATGGGTTATTTTAATTATCTGAAGAGCTGCAAGGACCCGGTGACAGTGATGGAACCCAGTTTTTCTGTAAAGCTTGCCATAGTGAATACCAGAATCAATTTTCTGAAAAGCTGCATAGACAAACATGAATATCCGAGACCACTTTTTAAATCATTACGCCGAAACCACATCCATCCAAATCATCGTTCTTTGAAACGCCTTACGCTGAATTATGTCGATGAAATTAAGTCTAGAATACCAGAATTGGAACGGAATATTTCTTTACGTTCACATATATTATTTGATTTGTCAGAAGATCAACGTTTCAAATTCAAAGATTACATTGACATTGTTAGCAAAAGTCGTAAAGAAGACGTGATCTTGGAATTAATGAAAACTTTGAAACAGACGGATACTCAAGCTTCTTTTCCTGAGTCTCCAGAGAAATATATTTTTAATTACTCAAGTATAAAATTATCAACTATTTAGCTACAAGCATTATCTCTTGGTCCTAAATTTTGTAGTACGTCATCCAGTTTGAAAGCCTCACTCGTCAGACTAACGACTTTATTCCAGTATCTAATGAAGATTTTGAGCATTTCAAAACAACTCTTGTGGATTTTTGTAATCAATATGTAAATAAAACACCTACAATTAGTCGGTTACTCACAAAAGAACATAAATCTCAATTATCTGATCTTCGGAGAAATCAGGACTTAGTGTTATGTCGCCCAGACAAGGGAGCAGGAATTGTCCTTATGGATCGTCTTGACTATGTTACCAAAATATCTTCGATATTATCTGATCCTGTCAAATTCTCTATTGAGACCGTTCAAAAAGACAGCTGAAAAAACTGAACAGATGCTAGTTAAAATCTTAAAGAAAATGAAAGATGGTTCTATTATCAATTGTGACCTCTATGCACACCTCAAACCATCGGGTTCCGTTATACCAAGACTATATGGACTCCCAAAAGTTCATAAGAATAATGTCCCACTACGTCCTATACCTGATATGAACTACTCTCCTTATCACTTGGTCGCTAAATGGTTAGTTGACATTTTACAACCTGTTAAAAATCATGTCAATAAATACAATTCTCTTGACTCCTTTGAATTCGTCGACTCAGTTATAAATATCAACGTAATTGGTAAGAAAATGTTTTCATTAGATGTCACTTCTCTTTTTACAAATGTTTCTCTCACAGAAACCATTTGTGTTTTATGTGACTGTATTGAAAACAATAATCTTGATATGTGCAATTTAGATTTAATGATGTTTTCTATACACAAATAGATGGAGTTGCAAGGGGTTCTCCATTGGATCCGCTCTTGGCTGATTGCTTCATGGCCAATCTGGAAAATTCTGTACTTCGTCCAATAATTGAGAGATTTCATTTATAGAAGAAATATATGGATGATTTGTGAAGAAGATATGGACCTGTGGAGATAGACCTGACAAGCTTATTTTGTAAATAGTTTTTAATATTATTTGTATTTATTTTGTCAATCTTTCACTGTCTGTATATTTTATCATTAAATGATTGTACTTGTTGTTTTAGTAAATGACCTTGAACACACTTTCCGTTGTGATACTGACATAGCGTGACATACTCTTGCTGGCTAACAAATACACTTTTACTCACACATTCCTCGTTCTATCTTCGTTTGTGATTGAGTTAACTGAAGTCTAAATCAAATACTATCTACGTTTATAGACTGTAATTGGAATATATCACATCCTATGTTGGATTATATCACTGGAGAGTTCGTCAACCAGATCGGAATTACCAAGCATTATAATTGTGGTTTCTTAGTACCAGACCAAAGCCGAACACGCATCAATTTGGTGAACTTAAGTAAAGTCCTAACTTTCTATTGTATTTGTAATAATGAACTTATATATATTAACATTTCTATTGATCTTTATTAACTTTGTTGATACTTTTTGCGTTTATATATCGTCTGGTCCACCACAGACCTAAATGAAATTTTGAACAGTTTCAATAACTGTCACTCCTCAATTCAATTCACCCTAGAAGCAGAGCCAAATAATGGATTTCATTTTCTTGATGTCCGATTAAAAAGAATGCCTGATGGTTTTTACAGCTATCTATATATAGAAAACCTACCTGGGATGGACACTACACTAATTTCCATAGTCGGGTCTCATTAAGTAGAAAGAGGAACTTAATTCACTCTTTATCCTCTAGGATCAAGTGAATCTGTCCCACTGACACAATAGATGAGGAACTAATTCAACTTCTACAAACTCTCATCAGAAACGGTTATCCACCTAGATTCATCGATAGTAACTTAACACCTAGAATTCATCATGAGAAAGTATCAACAGTATAGAAGAAAACGTTGTTCATGATTGTGGAATTTAAAAGAGACACGGCTGCTGAAATCTTAAATAAACGGATTCCAAAATCATTGAATAAAACTTTCTACACAGCCAAGCACCGAATGGCTTTCTCAAGTCGGCCTACCATTCCTGAATGTGTTAAAGATAAACTATAGCTTTGGGCCACATCATTGTGTATTTATAAATTTACGTGCTCATGTGGGGCTCATTACATAGGCCGAACAAAGCGATTACTTTCCAAACGCATCTCAGAACACTATCCGGCTTGGCTTTTAAAATGAGAATGTAAGACAATCACTAGTTCTATACAGGAGCATTTAATCAATTTTGGACACATCGCTCTCAAACATTCTTCCTTTAAAGTGATCTACAGAGTCAAAGGAATTGGATCGAAGGGGTATCGAATCAATATTTTATGCACTGCTGAGGCACTGGCAATTCACAAACTCAAACCTGAACTTTGAGTGCACAAGCGATTTGTCCAACCTCTCATCCTTCCTTGGCCCTAATTCCCTTAATGGGTATGCTTTTTGTTTTTTCTGCACCTTTATTTGATTATTATCGCATTTTTTAAAATTATTATTTTGCATTTTAAACTCTTATCAGTTACTATTATTATTATTACCTTATACAAGTTTTTTCGATTATTATTCAGAATGTGTTTTGTGGAGATTTTTAGAAAATTTCACAGATTGAAATCATGAGTCAGTTGAAGCTAGACCACCATTGAAAACCTGGAAGCACTGGACGGCCGTTTCGTCCTGGTATGGGACTCCTCAGCAGTGCGTGGGTTTGTCCCTTTTCTTCATATTTGTCAATTGGACCTATTATCTGACCCATAAATTATTTTCTTCCTTACCCCTTGATTAGTACGTAACCTCATTTGTTATTTATCCTCGAATCCATTTTGGTGATGCAATTTTGTCTATCCCCCTACAGACATACATTTTCCACATAACTATATATATATATATACATAAACGATCTGGTCGATAAGAAAATTTTCTTCGCTGAATTCTTTTTTTTTATTCAATGGCACTATGCGTTATTTTCATGACAAGGTTTTTATCAACTATAACTTATCATGAACTGGATCATTTACTGACTTTAATAAATGATCAGTTTGACATGGTTTTGTGTAATTTTTTCATGTTACAACGCAAATGCTCAGTAAAATACATCACCAAGATATGTTGCTTATGAAGCGAAGAGATAACATTGGAAAGAAATACATTGGAGAAAATCATTAAGAGATAAAGAGGGAAAAGTATCGGAAATTATAAACTTTGAGCTATAAAGTTACCAGCACTACTATTTCTCAGTTGGGATGCCATTGAAGATCAGCGAACACTGGGAAGTTGTTTCGTCTTGGTGTGAGTCCCTCTAGTAATGTATACCCATAACCCCATTAGGGATAAATAACTTCTTATTATACCAATCAACATAACCTCAGTACCTTGTAATGGACTTATTGATACGAACTTAACATAACCACCTACATTTTCACCATGCTATGCCATAAACATGAGACCATTTTGACATTCTCTACCGCCTTCGCGTCTTTATTTGATTGACTGTACGAAAATTATCTGTAACGATACTCTTGATGTGTAATTTACCAAGCTGAAGTTTTAATCCGTAAGGGCGGCCTGCTTGAGCATTTAATTAAAGGTTAGCTTCTTAGTTTGAGATTATACAGAAATTGCTTGGTTGTGAATGTGAAATTTAATAAGGAGGAATCGTGAGCAGAGATAAGAAATATTAGGACGGGGGGCTCATAGGGATGAGTGAATTTTATAGGCGACATCACAAAGGGACCTTATTTAGATAACTGATGGAAGCCAGGAGACACGACACAGCTGAAAGGTTACAGTATTGAAATCTTCTAAAGTCTTCATCCACGACCATACCATGGATGAACCCCAGGACCTTCATATTTCACGCAGCAGATTAGACTCTAAATTTATTGGAGTGATCATAATCATACACTAGGTAATGACTAATTCCAAAAGTTATTTCCAGGAGCACTGGCCGGAGTTTTTAATCCATGAAGTTCAACAATATTGGGTGTGAGATAGTTACCAACCAACAGGACTACATGATGGTTGTACAATACTGCAAATTAATAAAAGTTATGAATGCAAACATTTGGGTATTGGCTTAGTGGCCCAAGAGTTAAGCATCCTTCAGATCTAGCAGTCCTGGATTCGACTCCCCGAATCCCACAGAAGAACGAAACAGCTATTAAATGCTTTTTGGTTTTTATTGGTTGTATAACTATAATAACTTCAAGATATAACCTACAAGATAAAAAGTGTTCGCTGAAATTCATTATATCTCCCGTTGACCCCCGCAATCAATTACGGTTTATTTTACATACAAACCATAAACGTCTAAAAGACTTATGTTTTAAAACGTAATGAACTTACTAGGTAAATGGTGTGAAGACGATTCAGCCGGTTGACCATAGTAATTATGCTCCATTTGATAATCAATATCGGGTAAACGTCCAGATTGTCGACGTAATAATTCCATTTGGTACTGATAAATTAGATGAGATAATTGAATATCCGAAATCTCAGGAAAATATGAAAATGGATTACGTTTATTAACGTTATTATTACTATCAATATTTTTGGTTGGAGTGCTATAATATGAGTAACTATTTAAACTTGAAGATGGTTGGTGTTGGTGTTGTATTTTTGACTGTTGTGAATATAATGGTCTATTGTTCAATGGATTATTATTATTGGTTTGATAATTAGGAAAAGGAAACCAACTAGACGGATTTTCACGATTCATATGAGCTGTATAACCATCATATAATTCATGACGTTGATATGGCTTATTATTATTATTATCCTTTCTGGTCCATGTCTTCTCTTGTTCGCGGGGGTACTGTTGAGTATTCATTTCATACATAGTTTGTTGGTCAGGTATATAAAGCGATTCTTGATAATTATTCATTCTTGTATATGGATTATATGGGGAGTACGATATCTGTTTTTGTATTGTTGATTTAGAAGGTGCAAGGTTTACTCTTCTATAGTCAAGTCGTTCATTTGTCTCTCTTTCTGTTAATGACGGTATTGATGATGATACCGATGGAGATTGTCCGTATGATCTTACACTATTCTTGTTAAGATGATTAGATTGAGACAACTTCGAATCATACATCAAACGTGTATTGAAAAATTCGACAGCACTGTCCTCATCATCATTGTCGGTCTCTTCTTGTGAGTTAAAATTATCACGACTTAGTCTCTGATAGCGTTGTTTTCTTTGCTGCTGCTGTGTTTGAGAATCTCTTACATATGTTTCATCTGACTGAAAACCTTTCATTTGATCGAAATTGTCATTAAAATCACTCAAAAATGTAGGATACGATAATGATGATGATAACGGTGGATATAATTTTACTTTGTTCAGTTCGTCTGTTTTTTGACCTTTAAACCCAAGGTCATATGGTGGCATAACCACTTTTGGTGTCTTTTGTTGTGATGATTTAGCCGGATGTAAATCTAAATTACCATATCTGCGTTCGTTTTCGGTTGAAATCGGTCTACTTTCAGCATAATCAATTCCATACAGTTCTAAATAAATAAATAATCCAAAGTATATAGTGAATAATGTACTCATTCCATGACTTAAACGTTTACGTTGTGTAAGTCTTTTTGATGTTTTAATTATACTCTTCAACGTATCGCTTGAATTCCATCCACTGATAAGATTATATATGAAAATGATTGAATCAGTGTGCAATGTAAGTAGTATGACATTTATTTTACTGTAAATTCTATAATTACGAATATCATTAATACTGTTTCCGAAAAATAGTAGTATATCCTTCTGATGATATAATCGTGTACTGAGGTAACATACTGATTTCCACAACCATATACTTAAAGCACCAAACAATATGCAGAATATCCATGACAGTGATAGTAACAACGAGGATGTCAGTGCTGAGGATGGCAGTGATATTAACTCCACGAAATAAGAAAAAGGGGAAGTGAGTGAATGTGATGAGGGTAGATAGTTGTTAAACCACTCAAAGATACCAGTGAGATAACAATGAGATGAATGACTAAAATAATAATGAATTAAAATCAATGATATTAATAAAAGTCGTAGCACTACCAGTATTATTATTATCAGTAGTAGTAGTAGTTGTTGATGTAGTATTTCCGATAAATTTAAAACAGCTGACAATAATGGTGATAAACTTGACAACGTCCACTGGGAATTGAACATGAATTTGTTCAAAGTGATCTTACTTATTTTGTTTTGTTTGTTACTTATTATTCAATAAATTGATTAATGAAATAATTACTGATTTGATAAATCAAGCGTTGAGTTTTCAATTTTTTTTAAATATTTATTTTGCACTTTCTGCCTTTCACTCTTTGAAATAAATAATTCAAAGTTCACACATAAACTACAATATTACATTGTTTTCATAGAAGTTAAAAGATTCGATGTAATTTTATCCAAATTCCCATGCATAATGTATAAGAAAATAGATTTCAAAGAAAAATAATAGTTCGTGCATCACCCCGTTCTATTGCGTAGTGCTGATTACTGTTTTTGTTCTGATTTTGTTTCGTACTTTGTCACTGTTGTTAATAATAATAATAATAATAATAATAATAATAATAATAATAATAATAATAATAATAATGGCGTTGTTTATGGTCGTCGAAATCCTCTATGTTTTCAACAGTTCTTGTCTATGAATTTTCTAAGTGATTAAAATTTCAGTTCACCAATTGATTAATAATATAATTTCCATACAATTTTCAGAAAGATTTTTCTAATATTCCTGATAGTTAAATATTGAATAAATAATTATAGAACATTATTTTATGTGAATCATAGGATGCAATAATTGGAATATATTCAAATCACAAAATAAAATAACAGACAATAGTCGCTGATCATTTTGGCCGGAGTGAATATCATCGTTTCTTGTGTTTCTACTGTTTATTATATCAAATTACGTATGCTTACAAAGTGGGTATGTGTATGTATGAAATGGTATGTATCGGTACGTGAACTAGTGTGTTGATTTATTTAAATAATTGAGTGCAAATATATATGTATGATTGTTGCGTATATATATATTTATATATATCATGTTCAACGTTCAATACGATTGACACACAGAACCTGCGCATTCACATACAATTGATAAAACTGAATTGGTACACAAATTTAAAATTTCTTGTTGGATGGTACTACATTCCATAAATATGTGTAATTATTGATATCAGTATGCTTATAGGTTTTTGATTGTAGGCGTTTAACTCATTTAATAATAAAACTAATTATTAGAAAAAAATATTAAAAAATAATAAGTAAATTCATTGTCCAATCATTAGTGTGATATACTTTGATTTCATTCATCTGAGTATACACACAAAGTGCATGATATTAAGTGTCGTTATGCATATAGTTTCTGTGCGTATGTGTTCATGCTCTTATAAATATGTGTAAGCACATATTTTTGGTGGGAAAAATATTAAATTATAATTTGTATTAATTTTCGTTTCTCTTTCAGTTTTGTAGCAATCTTACGAAAGTAGCTTTACAGTTTCCCGTATTCAGTCGGAAAATTTCAGTCTATGTATAATGTGGTACAAAGTTTTTCTTAGAAATTTATTTTTGAAATTTCTCAATCACAAACAAATCAATAATATAACCTAATGTCACTTTTAAATATATAGGTTAATTTTTATAAAGTGGTAAGAAACATTTTCAGCTGAGTTAACATCATGGACGGACTTAAACTAAGTAATCATATAAAACTGAAATGCAATGAATAACTGAATCATTACAGGTCCGAAACTGTCAAATAGTAAGTACCCACTACATCATCAATACAGAATCCAGGAGTTCTAAGTCTTGTGGCTGGCACATTACCCTCAGTTCATTAAGTCAATATCCAATAATCTGCATCTCTAACTTTCGTCAAGTGATAACTCAATGATTTTATGCTTCCCGCATTTCTTAAACTACTATCTAGAAGTTATTCAATTATAGCAAAACGTAAGACAGGGAACACTTCAAAAAGGAACCAAGGGTTTAATGTTCGAAACTTGCAAACACACAGAGACAAGCGAATATGGGATTGCTTTCCTGGTCAAATTGCCAAATAAGATCAGATGTAGCCAGTTGCTTGTCTCATGGCAATTGTAACGTATTTAATTTTTTCGTACTACATTCAGTAATTTTGATTATAAACCTTTTACAGATAAACTTCTTTTAAGTTAACATTCACTTCATTATTTTGGAGATATCTTTGGTAGAGAATAGAATAGAATAAGTTTGCAAATAAGTTGAAATGTTTTTCAGTTTGTCTATTTGTAACAATATCACTAACTGTCATATTACTGACATTATATTCTATTAGTTTACGTTTCATTCTCCATCATATTTATTACGGCTTACTAATATCGAACTGTTTTTACAGATACTGATGTTCACTGGATGTTAGCGACTTTCCAATGAATCAGACTTAATAATAGATAACCCAACACATAACCCTTTCAGTCTTAAATAATAAAATAAAATTTTTGCTTTTATCTTTATACGTTCAAAAAGGTGTGAACTACACATTAATTGAACCAATGTTATTATAACTAACGGTAAAACGGCACTGTGAAGATGGTTTGAAAAGATGTTAAGAGTGACCTTGGGATGAGTGCATCAAAAAGAAGTCAATCTATTTGCAGCTTTGTGAAAACGTACTAAAACATACTAAAACAACGTACACGTAAAACGCTGTCCAGAGCTTCCAGGTTTTCAATGGTTTTCTAATCATGCTCAGTTCTTGATTTAAACTAAGCACATTCTACAATCGCCACAAGCTCCCCTATACTAATGAAGTAGAGAAAATCAAAAACGCATCACAAAATGTGAGGGTATCTTAATGGGATATCAAAGTAAACTGAAAAACAAGGCAAACGTTTTATTATACACAAAGATTTGGTATATTTATGCGATTTCCTATGACTTGTGCTGTGCACATAAGACGAATTTCTGAGACATTGAGTTGTTCTGACAGAATTCTCTTTATATAAGTATAGTGATCACTATTAATTGAATATGCCAGAATAGTGCTTCTTATATTTTTCCTGTTTTCCTTTGGTAAATCATTAGAAATGATGTCTATAAATATGATGATATATCTACCTTGTCAAAGGCTCAATATAAAGTATTTTGATCAAATAGTGGTCAGTATTATTATCGAACACTTAAAATCACTCTTTTCTTTTTTATTTAGTCCGACATTTTATACAGCGATATATTCCGTTATTTATGTTCAGACGAATGTTTTGTAGTTTCCCTTTGCGAAGCCATTAGTTTTCTATTAGACATTGGTCGCAGTTTACTATTAAACTTTCCCAAATTTTTTCCAGGTATTTAGAAGTTTCGATATTGTCTACGAAGAAAATACACTGGTAAATTATTTGTATATGCAACTAATCTCCGTTCTTGCTGAATAACAGAAATTGATGAATTTTACAGGGAGGATAACGCTTATTTCATCAATGTGATAACAAGAGAATAGTGATAATAATGCGAAGAACGACAGTGAAAATTTAGTGGACAGAACACCAGTGGGGACAATCAAATGTATTAGACACAAAATTACAGGACTTGTTAGTAAAATCTAAGAATCATATAGTAAATGCTTAATTTACAAAATGTCCATCAGTTGTCTTAAAATGACTCAGACTTCATTGTTCTTGCATCTTCACACAAATTGTATTCTGTTTCCATTCTTTAGTGTTAGGTCCTCTTGTCTCTCTTATGCTCGACATTCTGTTTACGACTAACGTTATATACTACTTATGTCGATATAACTAGCACACACCACAAAAAGATTGTAATTAAATCATGTTGTTTAGGGAGCACAGTGTCACCACTAGTCGTATGGAAGTGGAATACAAATTTCCTAAATCATTCGTGACAAACAATGATCAGTTTATCTGAAGATAACGACATGACATATCAGAAATTGTTTGTATTCTGTTACGTAATCACATAATTAAACAAGAGTCAACGATAATGTAAAATTTAAAAGATTATTAAATCATTCAGTCAAATGTACAAAACATTATGAATTAGAAGAAAGCAGAAAAACGATGTACTAATGTAATCAAATAGAAATTTTAAAAATTAGTTGTGTTTATATAAGGAATAAGAATAAGAAAATGTGAGTTATTTTGTCTTGAGCATAAAAAGCAATACTTCCGGTATTTGAAGTCCATATCTTAAGAAAATTTGAGAAAACTATTACTTCACTGTTGATTAGTCACTTAAAAAGGCTTTGAAATTTTCTACCCGATGTTTGTTCATCAAGAATAACATTCAACCGTCTGTGCTTTAAATTTGGTATTCACACCCAACCACCCACTAAGAAAAATATTTTTCACATCACCCTCACTTTCCTTAAACCTGTCGTACAATAATATTGGTAGTTTTAAGAAGGTTTTTACTGGTTATTATCGATTTAATATTGATGAAAAAACTAATAATTTATGCGATGACGAATATTTTGATAAAAGTGAGCTCGGATAATCACACTATTGCCAATTCAGGCTCGGATCGTTTCCAGTAACGTTCCCGTTGCTGGAAGAGCTCAAGAGTACACTAAGAGAATTCAAGCAGGGAACATTTTACCATTCTTGATTCCCAGTTCCATAGGGAGCGGAAACCGTACGTCAAGCTTGTGTCCTGTAGGACTGGTCTCAAAGCTGCCAGAAAACATCCCAGTCCTTCCTAAAGAAAGAGGTAGGTGTAATAGTTTAATAAAGCTGTTTCTCCCAGTGTTCTATCAAAATGTAGTTGTTCAATATCTACATTTTCCAAGGAGACAGATGGATATTTGAATTCGATTTGTGAAAACGTGCACCACAAATGTCAATGCAATGCATTGGCTTATCGTGATAGCTCATGGAAATGGAAGCCAGCGGGATTGGAGTACGAATCCTTCAGGCCCCTATTAGTTCCATGCACTTCTGCATACACTGGTGCATTATGTATACTCCTAATTTCCGAAGCACCTGATTCCTCAGGAGATGTCTATAGATAACACTACTAGACGCTATTATTCTTTATGAGAAATTTCATGAAGACTGACCGAGTTTTTAGGTGAGATTCTTCACAGATTGATCTCAGCTGCGGTTTCAATCACAAAGCAATGAAGAGCTGTTTCGTCATAGTATGAACTTCTCAACAACGCGTAC